TTCCAGCGCTCTGTGAGTTGTTCGAAGAGCCTTTGACGTAGCCACAGTGTCAGACCACGTCTCTGCTGCGTAGAAGAGCGCAAGGAGAACAGTTGAATCGAACAGCTGGGGAGATCTGGGTCCGTCAGCTGGTCTGTGGCTTCCTTTGGGGGCCCGAAAGCGGCCTGAGCTGCTCTTTGCCTCCTGTTTAGTTCTCCTTCAGATCTTTCTCCATGTTTATCGAACGCCCGAGATATACGCAAGAAGACGTCTACGCGATAGGAAAGCCTTCTAACTCCATTTCCTGATCCTCGCAGAAAGCGTTCTTCTGAACTGAGTCTTTCTCCGGTTGATTCGCAGTCCTATCTGCTTCCCTACTTCGTTGATCTTTCACATCGTCTCCACTTTATTGATTCCTCAAGAGAGCAATGTTCGCAATGCGAAGGTTCGCGAGGAATCTCCCACCAAGGTATACCTCTGTCGTTCCAATCCAGTGACTATAACACCCACTGCAAGGCGGTGCTGAACAGCTTTGGCGACATTGTCGTCTTGTCGAATCCGCCTTGAAATGGGTATGCTAAGGGGGAACCGTTTAGAACCATTCTTGTAGCGCTATCCTCACGTAAGATGGGTCCACCCTTGGTCGACGAGCGTTGACAGCATGGCATTAGTCTCCACGCCGTCAAACGCTTTTTACTCAATGAAGGTTACGACGAAAGGTAGGATACTCTCGGCAAACCTCGATAATCCTCGAAAGTGTCTGTATGTGAATGAACGCAGTTAAATCCCTTGCGAAATCCAGCTTATTACAGGTTGGGCTTCATTCAGTATCCTTGACGAAGAGCTTATAAAACGCGCTCAGCAGGCATATTGGACGGTAGTTCCGAAAATCCTCCCTGTCGCTCAAACAGGATTGCTCGAAAGGTTCTCCACTTGGATCCATACCTTTCGAAGGTAAAACGTTAGTGCGCCGCAAGTATCTCGTGTAGGCGATGTCCTCTACCTTGTGAAAGGTTGGCAGAAAGGTGGTCTGGTCCAGGAGGCTGCCTTCATGGTCTAGCTTGCAGTGCTTCAGCAGGTAGATGGTGATGTTTCTCCAGAGAGGACGACGGGCTTTGACACGGATGTTGATGAGCAGAAGATTAGTATAAAATCTCTTCGCGATCGATTCCACCTTCTGTCGGGAGGATGTGCGAGTTCCGTCTTTGTTTAACAATGTTTTCATCTGATTACGGTAGTGAAAAGGTCGCGGCGGCGCTTCTTTAGACTTTTCCTTCCCTGTGCTGCTACCAAGAGAGATTGCCTTTACTTTTGAAGATCTTCCTGCAAAGCTGTTCTGCAGCTGGTATTGCGTCAGTGGCACAAGATGTGATGTACTGGATCCGGCCTCTGTGCTCTTCTCTCTTCGAGTAGAGTGGCTTTCGAAATTTGTTCTAAGTTCCTTGTTCAGTATACTCGGGCACTTTCATCACAGGCTCTCAATCTTCTAAGAAGCAGGTCGTGATCTTTCGTTGGGTCCTCCTCGCTGGATCAGTCACAAGTGGTCAGCTCCTCCAATCTGACGACGTCTTATACCAACTCAGTGGCAGATGTTCTTTCCGCTGAATCGCACTTTTGCTTGAGGGAGATGGTGATCTAAACTACTGCTAAATGATGGTACCACTAAGACATCCAGCATGCACTACCATTGTGAGAATGTGGTCGATCTCCATATGAGGCACTGTTGGGCAACTCCCCATATCCACCGCCGGTGTTCTTTCTACATTAAAATGCGATAAAAAAGTGCGGTGAATGAGAGCCCGACAAGACAGTTACAATTCTCATTCCAAAGTGCTGATCGAAATCTCCCGCTCTCATGCTCCTCTTCTTCTGGCACCCCGATTTTTGCATTGAAATTAAACCACGAGTTCATAGATAGAATTTTCTTTGCGGATGACTCCTTCAAATCCTTATAAAGAGTATTATTGCGAGTCATCAGCTGCTGATGCAGTTGATGGAGATTGTTTTTTGATGCAGACGGAGTCGAAAAATAGCCAGGCGAGATGATAGCCTGGCCTATCGATAAGATGGACACCGGATGGGTGCGACAAATCCAACGCCTTAAACCTTCCGTGATGGAACTTTCTCACCACGAATGATGAGTGTGCTATCACTCAGCTGCCTCACGTCCGTCTTCC